GTCAGACATGAAAAGATATGAGTAAGAGAAAAGTGATAGGAAATGCTCGAGGTTTGAAGAAGATTAGAGTAATCATCAAATGACTGTAAGAGGAAACGTAGGTAAGAAATGAAGAATGAGAGTCTGCATTTATGCATTGATTATAGGGAGTTAAATAAAGTGACTGTGAAGAACAAATATCCTTTGCCTCAAATTGATGACTTATTTAATCAATTATAAGGAGCAACAGTCTTTTCGAAGATTGATTTGTGGTTTGGATATCATCAGTTGAAGATTAAGGCAGGTGATGTACCCAAGACTACTTTTCGAAATAGGTATAGCTATTATGAATTTTTTATTATACCTTTGGATTAACAAATGCACCTGTTGCATTTATGGATTTGATGAGTAGAATCTTTAAGCAATATCTGGATCAGTTTGTTGTTGTTTTTATTGATGACATTACATTTTGGTTTATTCTAAGAGTGATGGGAAACATGAGAAACATTTGAGGATTGTATTACAGATCTTGTTGGATAAATAATTCTTTGCAAAGTTTAGCAAATGTGAATTTTGGTTAACAAGTGTTGCTTTTCTCAATCATGTTGTTTTTAAAGATGGGATTACAATTGATCCGAAAAAGATTAAAGTAATGGTGAATTGGCCTCGCTTGACAAATGTGATAGAAGTAAAAAGTTTTATAGGCTTGGCAAGTTATTATAAAAGATTTGTTAAGGGATTTTCTCAAATTGCTATGCCATCGACTAGTTTAACTTAAAAGTGAGCAAAATTTGAATGGATTAAAAAATGTGAACCGAGTTTTTAAGAGTTAAAACAATGATTAGTGTCAACACCTATCTTTACCCTACCTTTTAATGTTGTTAGTTTTACTATTTATAGCGATTCTTTAAAAAAAAGGTTGGATTGTGTGTTAATGCAGAATGATAAGATAACTGCTTATGCTTTTAGGCAATTAAAACCTTACGAATAGAATTATCTGACTCACGACTTAGAGTTCGCCACCATTGTGTTTACTTTGAAAATATGGAGACATTATTTGTATAGGGAGCTTTGTGCAATTTATACAAATTATAAGAGTTTAAAGTATCTATTCACATAAAAAGAGTTGAACATGAGACAGAAAAGATTATTGAAACTAATCAATGATTATGATTTGACCATTAATTATCATTCAGGCAAAGCCAGTGTAGTCGTTGATACTCTTAGTAGAAAGTCTATTAGGAGTATGGCTGTTTTGATTACTTAGCAACAAAAATTATTGGAGGAACTTGATGCACAACAAATCAAGGTGACTATACAGGGAAAGGGTGTTGTTATGGCTAGTTTGTTGGTTCAACCAACTTTGATTGAAAAGATAAAACTGGCACAAAAAAAAAGGTAGTGAGTTATACAAAATCCAAGAAGATGTGTAGAATGGTTTATGGCTATAGTTTAAGCTTCACGAGGATGACACATTATGCTTTGGGAAGAGATTGTGTGTACCAAATAATTGAGTTGAAACAAAAGATCTTGGAAAAAGCATATGGGTCTCAATTCACTATACATCCTAGAGGTACTAAAATGTATAGAGATTTGAAAACAAGTTTTTTTGTGGAATAACATGAAACATGAAATAGCTTAGTTTGTGTCCCAATGTCTAGTGTGTCAGCAAGTTAAGGCTGAACACCAAAGATCATCAGGGTTGTTGCAACCTTTGGAGTTACTGAAATGGAAGTGAGAGCACATCTCTATGGATTTTGTGATGAGATTACCTAGGTCATCAAAAGGGAATAATATAGTGCGGGTAGTTGTTGATAGACTCACAAAATCAGATTATTTTTTACTTATCAAGTGGATTACTCCACTTGATAAACTAGCACAATTGTACTTGGATGAAATTATTCGATTGCATGGAGTTCTAATGAGTATTGTGTCAGATAGAGATTCTAGATTTGTCTCTAACTTTTGGATAAGCTTGTAGCGAGCTATGGGGATAAATTTGAAATTGAGTACAGCCTTTCACCCTCAAACAGATAGGCAAATAGAGAGAATGAATCAGATTTTGAAAGATATGCTTCGAGCAAGTGTGATTGATCTAAAAGGTAGTTGGGATGATTACTTACCTTTAGTAGAGTTTGCTTATAATAACAGTTACCAATATAGCATTGGGATGGCTCCTTTTGAAGCCTTGTACGGTAGAAAATGTAAATCCCTTTTATGTTATGATGATATTGGGAAGAGAAAACTTCTAGGTCGAAAATGGTGCAACTGACTATGGAAAAGATCAAGGTGATCAGGGAGGCTTAAAGCAGCACAAGATAATCAAAAGAGTTGGGTAGACAAGAAGAAAAGGGAGTTGGAATTTTGACAAGGGGACTATGTCTTTCTAAAGGTGTCACCCACAAAAGGTGCTATGCGGTTTGGGAAGCGAAAAAAGTTAAGCTTATGTTATATAGGATCGTTTGAAATTCTCGATAAGGTTAAAGAAGTTGCATATAGGATAGCCTTGCTACCTCAGCTATCTGGTGTGCACAATATTTTTCATGTATCTATGTTAAGAAAATATGTCTCTAACCTAAGCCATATGGTAGAGTATAAACCTTTAGAAGTTAAAAAAGATTTAACATACTTAGAATATCCTATCTGAATAGTTGATAAGAAAAAGTAGGTTTTGAGCATAGAACTATTCCCTTTTATAAAAGTTCAATGGAGTAATCATACACCAAGAGAAGCAATTTGGGAAATGAAAAATGAAATGAAGAAACAACATCCTCAGTTATTCGAAAATAAAGGTAAATTAAGTTTCGATGACGAAACTTTTTATAAGTTAGGGAAAATGTAGTACCTGAAAAAACAAAACAGAAGACTATTTTAAGTATTTTTTTTAAATGGAAGAACTCTTTAAAAAAGAATGAGAAATACAGAGGATCTATTGATAAATAATCTAATTTTTTAATAGGGTTAATTTATTATATTTTTCGTCTATGATTAATCGAAGGAAAAATAAAACCTTAGTTCTCCTCTCTTTCTTTTTATACAGAAAAGATATTGAAGGATTCTAAGTTAAGGATAACAATAAAATCTGCAAGGAGAATTGTCTGTTAGAGGCGAGTAAATAATTTTCCTCAATTTTGGAGTGTTGATTTTTAAGTTTTGAAATTTAATTTGTAATAGAAAACCCCTAAAATTTTAGGGTTTCCATTATCCCTCTCCAAGATTAGTTTGGGCAAATAAGTTAGACTTTAATTAGGGTTTAATTAAGTGTTGAGAAAGTTGGTAATGTGATTTTATTGCTGTAAAAATACCAAATAGAAATTTGATGGGAATAGAAAGGAAAATTTTTGTTTCGTATGAACCTTGATATGAACCCTGATGTTTACAGTAATTGATTAAGGTTATATTATGTATTAAAGGATTAAATACTACTATGATTATTATATATCATTGGAAAGCTTGCTAAATTTACTCTTCAATGAAATAAATGGAAGTCAATTCTAGATGTTCTATGAAGAGTAGTTTAATGTTTACTTAAGGATGTGTAGGCTACCTAGTAGTAGTAGCAGAGAGGAATTACGAAATTATGCTTAATTTTTATACAAGGATTTATAGATTAACCCATATATGTTTGGAAAGTTTATTGAGTCTACTTTCCAATAAAAGAAGCGGAATTGAATTTAGAGTTTCCTATGAATAAATACATAATTTTTATTAGAAGGTATACAGGCTGTCTGGCAACAGCATTTGACATAGATTACAAAAATTGTTATAATTAATCCACAAGGAATCACAAGATAGACCATAAATGGTTAGAAAGCTTATTGAGTATAGTTTCTAATACATAAAAAAGATTTTAATTTCAAGTTGGATAACTTGAGATATGGTCATTTTAGTGAAAGTAGTGTAGGCTGCCATAATTAATTGCTTGAGTTAATTTCTTGTTTAACTTAATTGTTTTAGTAAAAGTGGTCTCAAATAGGTTGATTAATTACTGTTATGTTAAAATAATCTTGAATAGGCCATTAATTATTTGGGGAGAAAAATTAGGTGGTGGAATCGGAAGGAGGGAAATAGAATTTCACACACTTTACTTGTTTTCGAATCTATGTATATATATGTTTCTAAATGAATGAAGATTTTATTTCATTATTTTCGATGTATGAAAATAGGATCAATGATATGATTATTTTACATTTTTCTGTATAAACGATGGATCATACTTATGAATGAAATGGAAAAATGATTTGTGTTTAAAGAAAGATTTTATGATAGTTATGTTTTTGCATCTTGGGAAGTGGGATTATCGACACTAGAACTAGTTCTACACCTTGGTTAACGGGTAATAGTGGTTAGCATAGACATGATCATACAGCCCTACCAACGGGTTATAGTAGTTAGTGTAAGGCCTTAGCTAATATGTTATAATAGTTAGCAATGATCATAAGGATGAAATTGTCGATACGGCCAATGCCATAGGTTATAGTAGTGACCGTAGCTAACGATAAATAAATGATAATGATGATTTATGATATATATATATTTTTTACAAATTGATTCATGATTTGGTGACATGTTTGATATTGATTTATTATCCACGAATGCTTGATAGAAAGTTGATTTTTGAATTATTTTTGATATTATGAATTGATGAATATTTTTGAAATGATCTATATAGTACGTATGAAAACGATGTTTGATCTGATAAGGTGTGTAAGCCTATACTTACTGAACTATGGTTTGTTCATTCCCCATTTTTTTTCTTTTACAAATGATATAAATGATACGTATGATTAGTCTTATGAGAAGCTAGAAGAATTGAGCATTAGAGAACTACTTAGAGAATAGGATTTTATGAAATATTTTTTTTTTAATTGTAATACTCGACATTTAACATTTAAAGACTTGTTATTTAGTTATTTTATTTATTAAGAATCTTATTTTATTTAAAAATTTTTCAATAGTTATAAATTAAACTTTATATTGTTTTGAAATTTTATTTTAAAATAATATGATCGTGTTATATCTCATCTCAGGCGCATGACAGTTTTCCTCTTTCCTTGGAAATTGATCTGTTGTTCTCTTGCTTCATCCTCAAACTTGACCGTGTTTTTAGTTTCTGATAAATAGATGCAAAAGGAACTGCTCAAACACCAACTTGAGATATATTCCTCTTCTACAACCTCATGTCATCGTTGCCATCGTCATCATCTTCTTCTTCTTCTTCTTCTTCTTCTTCCTCTTCTTCTCGACAGAAATATGATGTTTTCTTGAGTTTCAGAGGTGAAGATACCCGCACAAAATTCACTGATCATCTATATGCAGCTTTAAAAAGTAGTGGAATCGAGACTTTCAGGGATGATCGAAAGCTTGAGGCTGGAGAAGAAATCGCACCAGAACTGTTTAAAGCAATTCAAGAATCATGGTGTTCAGTAATCGTTTTCTCAGAAACATATGCTTTTTCAGGTTGGTGCTTGGACGAGCTTGCAGAGATTGTTGAACAGAAAGAAAAGAGGGGGCATAAAATTTTCCCAATTTTTTATGAAGTGGATCCATCTGATTTGAGAAAACAAACAGGAAGAGTAGCTGAAGCCTTTGCCAAACATGAAGAGAGATACAAGGAAAATAAAGACAAGATCCAAAAGTGGAGAGAAGCTCTGAGTGAAGTGGCTGGTATCTCGGGATGGCATTTAAAAAACAGGCAACACACTCTTTCCTTTTCTAGTTTCCAATTTTAATGACTGTAAAATTGTTTTTTTTTTATTACATGATATATAATCTTAAAAAGCTTTGATAATCTTGTGTATTATTATAGAAATTCATTTAACTAAAGGGTCATTTCTGTTTCATGATGTCGTAACATAGTCTTCCCTCTTATACTTGCTCTGTTTTTGGTCCCAAACTCTACTAAGAATAAAATTGTTTCTTAAAATAAAAGTGATGACCATGTTTCATGTTTTGTTTAAAATAAAAAAGATATATTAAATATGTATTAAGATTTTTTTTGACTTGGTTGCTAGTTATGATTTAATTATATATTAGCCATTTATGAAAAATAAAATCATAAATAATTTCTTCTGATCTTATAGATATTTGGTAATACTTAATTCGTTTTATATTTAATGTAATATTAATATATAAATTTTGTATACTGTCAGTAAATCAGTTGATATCATCTCATTGAATAGTTTTTTTAAAAATATTAATTTTTTATATATTTATTTAAGAATTTATATTTATTCTTTAATGAAACATTATCATCCATTCACTGATAATATATAGATTTTATATACTGATAATGCATTAAATATAAAGTCTAATTAATTTCAATTACTAAAGTTACTAATTAGAAACATGAGGCTTTAAGAGCATCCCAAATTTGTTCCATAAAAGATTATTGTACCCTTATTTTTTGACTCTTAATTTCATAATTACCAACTAAAGTTTGATTCTCATTTTACTGTTTGCAGGCATGAATCAGAATTTATTGGAGACATTGTTAAAAAGATATCAACAAAATTATGTCAAACATATTCCGTTGTTCCTAGTAAGTTGATTGGAATTAACTCACGTTTGGAAGAGCTGCATTCGAAAATAGACTTTGGTGAAGATGATGTCCGCATTATAGGAATTTGTGGTATGGGCGGCATTGGTAAAACTAGTCTTGCAAGAGTAGTTTATACCCAGATGTCCTCTCATTTTGAAGGTAAAAGCTTTCTTGCTGGTGTTCGAGAAGTTTCAGAGAAATCTGGACTTGTTTCTTTACAGAAACAACTTCTTTCTGATATATTGTTGGAAGAAGGTTTCAATCTATCCAATATTCATGATGGGAATGACATGATTAGTCGCAGGCTATCTCACAAGAAGGTTTTTGTTGTTATTGATGATGTTGATAACGAACAACACTTGAATTGCTTGGTTGGAAGGCGTGATTGGTTCGGTTTAGGAAGCAGAATCATCGTAACAACAAGAGATGAACATTTGCTCATATCCTACGGAGTGGATGAAGTGTATAAGCCTACAACACTGGATGTCGATGAAGCACTTCATCTTTTCAATTTGAAAGCTTTCAAGAGTGTTACAGGGCCAGGGCCAGGGCCAGAAAATGATTTCAATGAGCTTTCTAAACAAGTTGTAACATACACTGGTGGTCTTCCCTTAGCTCTTGAAGTTATCGGTTGTTTTTTGTGCGGTAGAGATGCAGCTCAATGGAGAAGTACAATTGAAAGACTTAAAAGAGATTTTGACAAAGAAATTCATAACAGACTTCTAATAAGCTTCGATGGATTACAAGAAACGGAGAAGAACATTTTTCTAGATATTGCATGCTTCTTCAAAGGGGGTGAGAAAGATTTTGTAACTAACATACTAGATGGTTGTGAGTTTTCTGCAGGAATTGGAATAAATCGTCTCATTGAGAAGTCTCTCATAAAAGTTATTTCGGGCAAATTTCTGTGGATGCATGATTTGCTACAAGAGATGGGAAGAACAATTGTTCGACAAAAATCACCTGATGAACCTGGAAAACGTTGTAGGTTGTGGGATGAAAATGATGTCCATCACGTGCTAACAAAAAACACGGTAAATCATTCCATCAATGTTGCATATTTATTTATTTAGAAACTCGATTTTACTGTGAAAATTATTAGCTAGGTAGGTTACTAGTATGACATTAAAATTCTTATTAGTATAAAACCAAAATTTTGGGATTATGTAAGAATATTCTTGAATACATGAAAGAATATGATTACATAACAGTTTTTTTATCATACAAAGCATAATAATTGTTTGAGTGGTTGATTCCAGACTACTTAAGTGTATATTTTATTATAATTTTATAATTAATTCTAGATGAAACCATTTAAACTTATGAGCAAGGTTCCAACAGCAGGTACAGGAAAGTAACAAAGAAAAAAAATAAAATTATAGTTTTATAGTTAAATTATGAATTTTATCCATTTAAATTTATCGTGTTAATTTAAATAAAATCAAACTAATTTCTTTTAGTGTAAAATTTTATTGAGAATTAGCCCAACCGTTTAAATCTAACGCAAAAAAATCTTTAGCATTATGTTTCCTTTTAGTTCATTCCTCTTATAATTTAGCTATTAATTTTATTACAACATGCTTTTTGAGTTTTATCCTTCATTTTTTATTTTCAGGCTACGGAAGCAATTGAAGTCATGATCATCGAAGATAAAGGGTAAAAAAAAAAAATTATACACATTTATCTATGTATTCTTGACTTATTTAATTCAGTCATGGTTGCTAGATCATATATATTATTAATATTTTGTCTTAGGTTACACCTTTTTTATTGTAGTTTTTTAGTAAAGTCAAAATTATATTATTTATCATTTATTTATATATAAAAATGTGAACTCTAAAAATATTGAAATTGATCGATTAAAATACTTTTATGAATTTTTAAATTAACAAATTTATTCTTAAATATATAACTTTTATTAATTTATTTAAGTTTAATTTAAATAAACCAAAATTAAAAATAAAATTTCTATGAAATCAAACTACTTAATTTTAATTTTGAAAATATTAAAAGTAATTGACTAAAATATCCATAATAATTTTTTTTATGAATTTTTTTATTAGACTCTTTTTTGTAATTCAACTCAAAAAATGCTAAATGTGATTAATTGAAATACCCTTCATAAAGTTTAGTTACAAAAATTTTAAACATAATTGATTGAAATATCATTAGTAAATTTTTTTATAAAATTTAATTTAAATGAATTCTCTTTTATTATTATTATTATTAGATTTTTTTAAGCTAAACTTATATTAAGTCAGAAACATGATTTTTCATATAAGATATAAATACAAATAGAATTAGATCAAAATTATTAGTGTGCGTAGGAATAAATATGAAATTTATTTTTTTAGTTGTTGTAAAAGCAATTAGGCATGTAGTTTATGTTGATAAATAAATTTATTAAAAATAATCATAATTAAATAATAGAAGCATTTTTTATTTTTTATTTTTTATTTTTGTTTTAATTGATTTATTAAATATATTTGTATATTAAATGATTTTATCATTTGTATATTTTACAAGTTTATCATTTGATCATTGATAACATAATTAAATCCTTTTAATCCTTTGAAATAATTTTTTTAATATGTATTATTCTTACAGTTTAGTTTGACCTTTATAATTAATTTTTCTTTTGTATTTTTTTCTAAAATTTTATAATTGTTATTTTCATAAACAAAAACTAATATTAAATCAAATGCAAACCAATTGCACATCCTCTATCAACAATTAGTACTATGTGATTCTTTTAATACTTTAATTGGATTTTTCATTTATATAATTAAATAATTCATAAGGTATTGGAGTTACCAACAACTCAAAATATAATATTGCCAAATTATCATAAGAATTGTTTACCTTAATTGAAACAATAAGTGATTTAATTTTCTTTCAAACTTTTTATATTAATGTACATATAACAAAAATTTTACCTAAAATTATATACTTAAATATATAAACATAAGATAAAATTTATTACTTTGATTAAAAGTGTATACTCATTCCTTTGTAAGTCGTCTACTTTGCAAGTTATTCATCCAAACTTAAAAGGCTCATTTGCAAAAAATAAACTCATTGGAAAAATGGTTAGACTTAATTTCAACGTTGAGTTTGATTCAAATCATATAATATATATAATTTTTTATGTTTATATACATATTATGTAATTATATTTATATATAATGTATAATATAGTATGTAATAAAGTGAAAAAAAAATCAATAGTAAACCTAATAGCCATTCAAAATTAAAGTGAAAAGTCATAGGTAATCACCTAATTACTACTCAAAACTAAAGCATAACCAATATGAAATTAAAATCACGTGGCAAGTGTGCCAATAGAAATAGTGTTGCAAAAAATTTGATTGTATTAACTAAAAAAGTTCAGTGTTTCAAAAAAAAAAAAAAAAAGATAGATCCACCTGAATATTGATTCTTGCTTTCTATAGGTGTTGAAGGCATCGTATGGTTGAAACCCAATTTTGTTTTGCCCTTATTTTTCAGGGAACAGAACGAAAGGTTCACTTTGAGTGTTGATGCCTTCTCGAAGATGACAAAATTAAGATTGCTCAAAGTCTTCTATCTACCAAATTCTCATGATCTCAATTATCTTTCTATTGATCAGTTAAGGCTTTCAGATAAGAGTCGATATCCCTCCAGATCCTCGCCTTCAAGCTTCCAACAAGAAAACCTTCTATTAAGATTGCTCAAAGTCTTTCATCAACCAAAATTTGAAGATCTCAAATATCTTTCTAATGAGTTACGGCTTTTGGATTGGAGTGGATATCCGTTCAGATCCTTGCCTCCAAGCTTCCAACCAGACAATCTTGTTGCACTTCTCCTACCTTATAGCCACATTGAACGATTATGGGAGGAAAACAGTGTAAGAAACACTTCATTAATTTGATGTTTGTCTTTTAGCTTATTTTGAGATGAATTATAAAAAGTTTGAATAAGATATGAAAATAACAATAAAACGAAGAGTTTTCGATTATTTTCTTCTCCCTAATTTATTATTATTTTCAACAGCCTTTACCTAAATTAAAATTAGTCAACCTCCAAGGCTCCGAAAATCTGATCAAGACACCAGACTTCACAAAGGCTACACTTCTCGAAAGTTTGATTTTGGAAGGTTGTACCAGAATAGTAGATGTTCATCTACCTGTCGGAGTTCCAAGCAAGCTTAAACATTTGAATTTAAGAGGCTGCAAAAGTCTTAGGAGTTTTTCAACCAAAATAATTGGAATGAAATCTCTTGAGCATTTAATTCTTTCAGATTGCTCAAAATTTGAAAGGTTTCCAGAGATTGATGGAGAAATGGAATGTTTGCAGGAGCTTCATTTAGATGGAACAGGCATTGAAGAACTTCCTTCTTCAATTGGACATCTCAGCAGGCTTAAACTTTTGAATTTAAGAGGCTGCAAAAGTCTTAGATCTCTTCCAACCAAAATTGGAATGGAATCTCTTGATAAAGTAATTCTTTCAGGCTGCTCAAATCTTCAAAGGTTTCCAGTGATTGATGGACAAATGGAATGTTTGCAGGAGCTTCATTTAGATGGAACAGGCATTGAAGAACTTCCCTCTTCAATTGGACATCTCAGCAGGCTTAAACTTCTGAATTTAAGAGGCTGCAAAAGTCTTAGGAATTTGCTTTCTCTTTCCTTGGCTCTTATGTTACCTCCTTTGTCAGGTTTGAATTCTTTAACAAAGTTGAATCTAAGTGACTGCAATCTTGGGGATATTCCTAGTGATATTGGCTGTTTATACTCTTTGAAAGTACTTTATCTTGGTGGTAACAATTTCATCTGCCTACCAGAAACTCTTAGTAGACTTTCCAACCTTTATTGGCTTGACTTGGTAGATTGCAAGAAGCTTAAATCATTACCTAACCTTTGCCGTATGATAGAAAAGGTGTACGTAGATGGTTGTGCTTCACTGGAAGAAGTCGATGATCCAATAACAGCATGCAATCCACGTTTTGGCGGATTTGAACAATTTAGAGGTATTAACTGCTATAAATTGGTTGAGAAAAGCAATGCATTGACAATGCTAAAAAAACAAATTAAGGTTGGTATCTCTCTCACTGAATCTCACTTTCTAGAATACATTGTATTCGTTTCCAAACAACGGGATTTTTTTTTTGGCAGGTACTTGCGAATGTAAGTCGAGAAATTGACATTCTTGTACCTGGAAATGAAATCCCAGAATGGTTCAACCATCAAACGGATGAATCTTCAATAAAGATAACACTGCCTCCTAATATTCAGAATGATAGTCAGTGGGTGGGAGTTGCTCTCTGCTGCGTTTTTGTCTCTGCCTTCAATGATGATGATGCTTGGGAGTATGCCTTCAATGTTGATGATAATGCTTGGATGCGGCGGGAGGTTCTCAGCCATTCGATAAAGAGTAACTATTGTAGTTGTGATCGGTCCATTTTTTTCGCAGAAAATAATAGGCGGCAGCGGGCCAAGAAGGACCACCTTTGGCTAACTTATTTGTCTCGTTCCCGGTTATATCTATCTTGCTATGAGGACGAATGGCGTGAAACCAGGTGCGATCAAATGTTTGAATCCGTAATACCAAACCCGGAGTTTTTCAAAGTGAAAAAGTATGGGCTTCGAATAGTGTATAAGAAAGATTTGGAAGAGACGGAACAAATACAAGAGCAGCACAGCAGTCCAGCTTCTACAAATTTTGATGACAGGGAATGGTAGTGTTGCCCATTTAAAGCAATGGAAAATATTTTAAATTCATAATGGGAAGAAACATTAATTCTGGTAAACTACTAAACACTCGTCTTTATATTTTTTTTTTTGTTAGACCTTCTACACTGTTTACTTTTATTTTGCTATTTCATTTTTTTTTGCAGGATTGAAGCTTGGACTATAATGAATTTCTTATTTATTTATTTATTTACATTTTATTCTGGACAATAAAAGGATATACACTATCATCTAATCTCTGATAACTCTAATTTGCATTATATATATTTTTTTAGTGGAGAAATTTTCATTATATCTACGTGCTTTGTTTCCAGGTTGAATTGGATGACATCGAGTAGAATAAATAATTGAGACAAGCTGTTGGAGGCAAGCAGCATTACTCTACATAAAAGTAGGTGGGAGGGTAAAATATGTTTGATGTCGTATGGAGCATGAACTTCTTATCTTTGCTATAAGATTGTATTGTAATTTGTTAAATTTAAAACCCAGTTTCATTTGTTTTCACTCGTGTTGCTTAGGCCTTGTTATATGTATGATTGGTTGCATAATGTAACGGTGTTTTGGTGTGATTGAGAGCTTGGTTTAATAGCTTTATGTGACCTTTTTTTTTATGAGAAATAGTAAAATTTCATTAGATATATTGCACTAAAAGTTTAGATTTTTCATATTTATTTGGCATGTGTAGGTACAAATATTGAATTTAAGGAATTTTAGATATTTTTTATATAAATTTGAAAGATTTTATATGCAAATTATGCAAATGGCTTAAACTAGTATTTATAGGTCACGATGGGATTAATGGAATTTTTCTTGACTTTTCTTGCATTATTTTTTAATATTATTGTCATAATTTGTTTTAGCGAATTGTATGATAAAAATGTTAATAAAGTGTTTGGAAATTTTTGCAACAAAAAGAAAAGGAAAAAAAATATTTTATATATATTTATATATATATATATATATATATATATATATATGAAGCATGCAAAAAGGACGTTGGTGCAACGAAGGAGCATCAAAGTTGTTGGGCATTTCAAGCTGGTTTAAGGGCATCAAGAAGAGTGGCTGATGTAGCACTTAAGAGGGCTGTGATTGGTCTTTATTTTGACTCTGTGACTCATCAAGTACAAGTGAAATCAGATTGCAATTTTGTGAAGAGAATAGGCGCCAAACAGCCAAACAACCAGACCAAGCAACAGTGCACCAGGGAAAGAGGAAGGCCCTAGAAGCCCCTCTGCTGGGAGAGTTTTCTGGATTTTTGTATGACCTTGAGCTCCTCCCTTGCCTATAAATAGAGGGAAGAGGGCTGGCAATTAAGTGAGTTTATTAGGATTTAGATTTTTTAATTCTTTACTTTCTTGCACTTTGTTTTTTACGTTTTAAATTTTTATTGTAGCCAAACACTATTTCTATCATTTTTTTCTTTGAATATTTTTGCAATCTTACTGTTTCTTAAGTGGTTTTAAGTGTTCTTTCCCAATCTTTTAATAAAATTTGCATTTGAATTCGTTTTTTAACTAAAATCTATTGATTTCTCATTGATATTTAAATATGTTTTTGAATCAACCAATTCTGACCTATTTGAAATTTTTAGAGCATAACTTATTCAAATCTTAATTGTTTTTACCAAAAAAAATTTTCATAGTTTTTTAATTCAATTAGTTACAACATATTAAAAATTCAACCTCAAATTCATACTACAACATTCTAGTTCAAGCTTGAAAGATTTGACCAGATGAAGTGACAGTGCAATTTCAATTTTGATTCAGCAAGTTTGGCCGTGGACTTCTCTTCATTTTGGTGATTTGTTTGCATTCTTTTCTCCTTTAAATCTTTGTTTCTACTTGTTACTTTATTTTGTTTAATTTTATACAATTTATTTTATGCTTTTAATTGCTGTTTGATTAATTTTCTTTATTGACATTTTGTTTCAACAGATTCTGCACTTGCTTTGATTAATTTTTTTTATTGATATTTTTTATTTGGTTTTAGCAGATTTCATGATTTTTTTAGTAGAATTTTAATTTTCACATTTTTTTTTTACTTGTTAATTTTGTTTAGTTAATTTTTCATGCTTATTTTTTTATTGAACTAACTTTAGAAAGATATAAAGATAAAATATACTTAATTTAAAAACATCTTTAATTAATTCATATGGGATCAAAATCTAAACTTTTATAGTTTCTATTATTATTTAATAGCATGTAAGCTTGCAAATTGTCCCAATCAATATTTGAAATAGTGTCGATGGTACAAAAGAATTCAGGAAGAGACATCCACCACAATTTTTGGTCTCCTACTTCACAATCAAGTCAAACTTCTCAAGGTTATGTGCCAAGACATTAGCACTCCTAACATAAGAAAATTGACATAAGGTAGTGAATCGAACCATACATATCATTCAATACTTACGATGTAACAACAAAATCAAAAGATTCAATTTTTATATATAGTTGTTCAACTATGATTTATTAAATTGATCCTTATCACCATCATTAAGGCGCTTTTTAACCAACAAGTCCCTTACTTAAAAGGAAATTCAATAATAAACAAACCTTATGATATTATCAATGTGATTGAGCTGCATTTGATGGCAAATGCAATGTCAAATAATATATAAAATTTTGATTCAAAATTTCGATTATGGTGAATTTGCTCTCAATAAGAAAAGCATATAAAACCTGCAATTGCACAATTACTAATACAATTGCTTTCAAACGCAATTGTGATGGGAATTGTAATACCAAAAAAATGCCTTAATTTCTTGGAAAAAAAAGAAGCAACTAATTTGTGAGCATTAATTAGAATTAATAATGCTCTCTTCTTGTGCCTCACCTTACGCTCTAATCATCCTATCATGCTTGTTCCATGCCCCAATTCAAATTGCAATTGCCCTTCCCATCCAAAATCAATCCTATAATCGAAACAAGGTTAACCACTAAAGAGAAAAAGAAACGAGGTTAATATACGTGAAAGTATAAATCTCACATTGACTTAATCCAAACATTACATGTTAACATTTCCTTCCAAGTAAGCATTACTTGAGATCAAGGGTTATGAATGGCTTAATCACATTGGAAAATGTCACCCTTGACCCTAGCATCAGGCAAGAAGGGCACACCCCTTCTTCCAAGAATGGGTAGCCAAACAAACTTTGAAGGATTTATGGGTCCTACTACAAGCTGGAGTGGGTCTATATTTATTCTATCATCCGTGGTTATTTAGCAAATTTTTTTCCTGTTTTGCTTTACAAGATTTTGTTTTGTTTTTTTTTTTTTTTTGTCAAATCATGCTAGTAATCCATGTATTATACAAAATTTTCAAATTTAACCCCTTTACTTTAATTCATAAAAATTTAATTTTTTTTATAAATGATGTCAATTGATCACTATTAAAATCGATGATGTGGATTTTGATCCGTTAACGTGTATGTTGACCAAGCTTATGTGGCAGGGTAAAAGGATTCATGATGCTCAGTGTAAAAAGTAATGCCATGTAGCTAAAAAAAAATTTTCAAAAATTTTTTTTTACATAATATGTCTAACAAAAAATAAAACTTTTCTCTTAACAAAAAACTTCACAATTGTAAATCACAATTTGACAAAAAACAAACCCAAATCCCTAACCCCATTTCTAACATATTGAAATCCCAAATCCCTAAACCCATAACACCATCAAACCCTAAGCTAAAACTCTAAGAGTTATCATTTGTAAACTAGGAAAGTTTTGATGACATCGACTAAAATGAGAAAGGTTTCGAAAGTTGGATATTGTTCGAATGTATGTCATCTTTTATATTTGGGATTGGGTATCATTGGGATAATAAAATTACTACGTTAAAAAGTGATTTGATTTACAACTTGAAAAAAAAAGAAAATTTTATTATCGTGTGAAAGTACTTTTCAATATTATTTTTAATTAATTTACTTTGAAAAAAATTTTAGTAACATTGCCCTAAGAAAATAACCAATAAAAATTTTCAAGAATTGATTTTTCTAATCACTTATTTAAAAAAAGTTTTTTTTTACAATTGAATAAATATTTATTGATTAAAAAAATATAATGTATTTATTTAATAATTTTTAGAAATTATTTTAATCAAAATTAATTTTTATTTTGTAGTTTTTTTATAAAATAACGTTTAACTATTTTATGAATTATTGATTCAATAAATATTTAATTTTTTTCTAAGTTTATTTTGGATATTTTGTACTTTATGATTTTTTTCATGTAGTACAAAACACAATGATTTAAGATTAGTAGTAATTTATAATATTACATTAAATATGATAATCTAAAATCACTAATGATCAAATTACCTTGATCTTATCATATGATGATTAGATCACTACAATAATCTTAAAAATGATATCAAATGTTACCTTATTACTTTAAATTACACTTGCTTAACTGGAAACAATTTTGAAATTTTTAAGTTACTTCTGCTCAATTGAAAAAAAAAAATCGAATTCAGTTATTTGATACTCAAATATTTGGATTTATTGAATGAATCAAATTCAAATATTTTAATATTTGATTAAAATAAAAAATCTCATAAAGTTTTTTTTATTTTAATATATATTTTTATTATTTGAATTTACAATTTAGTATCCTTAATATATTTAAAGGTTATAATAGAATTCAATAACAAATAATCGAACTTAAAGTCAAAATATAAAAATAGAGCTCATGTTTTACTTGTTAAACGAATTTAATTAAACGAATTCAAATAATTCAATTTTTATTCTTAATCGAGCTCAAATTAAAAATAAAAATAAATGATCAACTCAAGTTTCCAAGATCAAGTTTAAAGTTGATACGACTTCGGAATATTTCTTTATGTTGAATTTGAGTTTGAGTTACAGAATTTTTATAGTGGAATTTGGGTTTGCGTTTGGGGTTGGCGGACTTACCTCAGAATATTCAAGCTCTCTTAAACTGAAAGTTTTGAGACATTTAGTAAGCAAAATTAGGGAGTAATTTTGTTTTTAATAAAAGAGGTGAATTATGTGCAAAAAGAATTACCATTAGAAGTGAATGAATAAGATATTATTAAACAAAACTTGATCTTATTGACATTCTCTGTTTTACAAATTGATCATACATTTTGCAAAGGCTACACTCTCAGGAAGTTTAAATGATGCACATAACATATATTTTCCAGGTGCAACAAGCCGTACCCTACGCATATCGACGTTAACCGCAACCTCTTGCAAGGCGATTCGCATCCGCTGCATTAAGAGAGGAACACGAAAATAAATATGAAATAAAAGGAATACAAAAAGAGAAACAGCATCCATATATTCCATCTAAATGAACACATATTATGAGGTTTTGGCACCATACCTCATGAAAGTCGAACTCAGGATCTCGAGCCTTAGAAAATCCATAAACATGAATCATTGGGAAGTTGAATTCTTTATCTCTAGGTTGTCCTCTGTATACTCCCCTGAATGCATCTGTTCATCAAGGCCGAAATATAAAAATAGATTAAATTTTTGCATGATATCACCTTGATCATTTCAGCAAATTGTGAGACCAATAGCTGCTATCGGCCACCATGATTTAAGAATGTTCATCGAAGACTTTAACAAATACTTTTAGTGAACATGAACATTATTTGTCAGCTAAGAAACATCACCTAATAGTGTTTCAGACTAGAGTTGAACATGTTAAAACTTGAATCGTAGTTCAGTCATGATTTCCAAAGTCTATGCCGATTGCCTTCACATAACCAATGTAAGCAATCCTATTTGCAATTTCCTAGAATAAGAACTATCACCAAGGTGTTGGTCTTTAACATCCAACCGGAGGAATGTTAACAAAAGCATATGGCAAACAAGAGATATAATTAAATAGCATAAGTAGTTCACTGACTATGAAATACCCTTTAAAGACATCCATAATTACTCAGGAAAAGAAAATGTGAGTGAAAAAAATAAATAAATAAAACCTCCAGCCATTGGAAGATGACTACTTACCTAGAAATTCTGCTGCATCATTTGGCAAATTCATTACTACGTGTGTGATGGAATGAGCTTTCTCACTAGAAAACATAGCGTTGATGAACCTTCTTCCATCCATGTTAAAGACCTAGATGGTGACATAAAATATCCTCAGTATGTGGAATATAATTCCATTCACAAGAAAATCAAACATTAAAATCTGCAAAGTGATATGCAAAACATTACCCCACTTAGGGCAGCATCAACGATAACCATTCTTTAAATTACCTTTTTTTATATATATTTTATTCAGACATAGTCTCTAAACCATGTCTGCTAGAAGTTTAGAGTCAGGGAAGTATTGTCCATGAAGACAAAGTTAAAGAACTACATGCAGCAAATTGATATTCTTTCAGTTGACTAAATCATCTATCACAACTTTACTCGTATGAATGACTCAATCATACCTTAATCTTCCTCTCCAGTTTGTTAAGGACACTGTTTCTTTCAAGATAATCAACCGCAAAAGGGTTCAAATCATTAGCATAAACGCGTTTTACTAACTTAGCAGCAGATATAGCAATTGGACCAACCCCAGAGAATACATCACCTGTCAATTAGAAAAGGTAAGAGTGGAGATATGTAAGCATCTTGATATGAATATTTATAAAAATTCCTAACTAGTACAAAATTTATGGAAATCAAAGAGCCTTATGGTGATTATAACAACAATTATCTGTATCAAGATGAAAACATACAGATGACGTCATTGCGATTGAAGGAACTCAGAAGCCTCTGTCTCTCGGTTGCCAGCCGTGAATTCCAATACCTGCATAAAAGAGGCAAACTGGAAAATGAATACCCTCGTAATGCAAGTGTTCTCTGCTATATGGTCCCCGCATCTTCTTTATACATGATTTGACATTACTCTTCACTTGGAAAACAAACATTATGAAGTCTAAGTTAATTATCTTATTGCTTGAATGATAGCAGCACATACACTGTTGCTAAATCAACATGAAATCGCAGTCCATTCTCAACTACTGTAGTCACCAAGGAGCAATTCCCGGCTAAAACCTCAAGCGGCATTGTTCTGTAGTCATTATGAATGGCATCAATCTTATTTACAACTGTTTGTATTTTTGGCTTGTTTTTGTCCAGAACCACCTGATAAAGTGGAAAACAACCATCTCCTGTCAGAAGAAAATTGATGAGTTCACTCTCAAAGTTGTAGACTTATATCTTCACTATGGTAAAATTATTACTAATTTCTATAATGAGCACCTTTGCTATAACATTCTTGTATGGTATATGTTCATCTCTCAGGTTCAAGTGCGCAATATGACCGACTGTCTCAAAAGCTGAAGGGATAATTATGCCCTCTGGTAACAGGGCCTCCAAGATCTGCAATCACTGCATAAGTTTTAAAGTCCCCATTGACATTCATCAAAAGAAAAAACTAACCTACTCTCTATGTTTCCCCTTAAGTCTCTTTCCTCTTAGCCAGTTAGTTCTCTTTGATTGGGCAAGTAAGAAGAAATCTTCACTTTTGTGGTCCTCATGTAACATAATAGCATATACAGAATTTTCATGAAATAGTCGATAAGTGATGATAATTACACAATGCTACATAATTCCAAAATCTTGTTTCCTCATTCATTTGCAAATTAAATGTTCTTCCATATCATTACCTATCAAGCTGCCATCCCCAGCTTCTAAACTTTTTTATTACAATGACATTACAAATAGAGTAACTCCAGATTCCTATAAATTTGTGTCGAGAGACAGTAGTAGAATTTGATGTTATGATATCTCTCATAGATTGAAGCATACAGAGATAGAATGGAAAAAAGAACAGAGGTAGGAATGGTGGAAAAAAGACATAACGACACAAACTTCAACAATTACTTAAATGAATCCTAGACAACTAGGAAAAAGACCTCATTGTTGTCATAAACAATAGCAAGTACAGGCTCAAAATAACAAATAAAAAAAGAATCCAAGCAAAAGATAGAAGAATGGACTTCATCCATTTGCACCAAATATAAACACAATTATAATACTTTTGCGTTATATACCTCATTCATCTGCCAATAATCATAAAACAGAGTCAGCTTGCACCTCACAAGCTCTATAGTTGATGCTCTATTCTCCCTGGTTTCTTCAACCAATACAGCCTGAAAAAAAGGATGGGATTTTAGATATGTACAAACCGAAAAATCTATCATAATAGAAATCCTACCATAGATATCCTACCATAGATACAGCATCAAAATTATATATCCTGAGGGATAAAATGGAAAGGAAGAGCAATGCATTAGCATAAAAATTAACAAGAGAGAGAAGAGAGCACCAACTCTTTCAACAAATCTCAATGGAGCAACAACTCCATGTTTCTATTCTTTTATAATACATTAAAATCAATTCAATACACATCATCAGCACATCATAACATCATAACATAAACAAAACTCTACATAAATCACTACATCAAAATGAAACAAGCTTCAATGAAAATAACAAAACAAGTTTTGGAAAAAAAGAATATCCAAACTACTACCTTAATTGCTTGAGGCAGCTCCTCCAATCTTTTATCCCCATACCTCTCATCCAAAAGCAACAATCTTGTTGAACCCTTCCATTTCCTCCCCCCTTTAAACTCCTCTCCTAACAACCCTTTCATTTCCTCCTCACCTCCTTCTCCTTCCTCCTCCAAAACTTCCACAATGGAAAACTCTTTCCTCTCATTTCCTTTCCTTCCCTCATCCCATTTCTTTTCCTTCCTTTTCTTCTTCCCCGGCCTCGAAATCTTAGCCAAATTCTTAAACTTTACAAACCCCCTATAGTTAAACTCCTTCACCAACTTCTCCCTATACAAAACCAAAGATTCAATCTCTCCATCCTCCTCCTCCTCCTCATCGTTCTCTTCGCCATCTTTTCTTTTATCAAAAAGGGTCATCATTTCTTCTTCGATTTCGTCTCCTGGAACCCTGGCAATGTTCTTAACTCTTGGCCAGTTCAAGAGGTGACCCCTGAGACGGTTCTCAAGGGCAAAACAGTCATTTGCAGGGACACGGAGGGCTGCCAGATGAAAAATTCTAGTGAATCGCTGTTCATCAAAGGAGTTTTCTTCTTCTTCTTCTGATTGATGGGTAATTTGAGTTTGGGTCTCAAACGGGGTTTTGGGTGGGACTTTGCCTTTATGAAGAGAAGGGCCATAAGAGAAAGTTTGGGTTTGGTTGGAAGAGAAGAGAGAAAGAAATGAGGGTTTGGGAAGAGAGAAAGGGAAGAGTTTGGGGTAGAAGATTGAGAAAGGAAGAAAAGAGCTTGGTTTGAGATGGAGAAGCTTTGTGGCCACCATTTTTAGTGAAGTAGAGACAGGTTTTTGCCAAGTTTGGTTGATATATTGGATAAGGGGTTAAAAGAGGGTTTAAGATTATTTTTTTTTTCATAGAAGTTTGGAGTGAGGGGAAGTTATTCAATATAGCAGATTTCAGAGTATTGATATTGAATTTATAACAGATAAAATATATAATTAATCAATCATATGTGTGCTTTTAAAATATCATTCAATTAATAATTTTTAATTTAATTATTTAAGTTGAAGAAAATTTTTTATATCACTCAACCATAATCTTGAATAATTTTTAATATGTTATAGTATTATATCAACGATCATGTATCACATACCATCATCATGTCTTACATAATACTTTTATGTCATCCGATTTGTTATGTGATATATTAATAGTTAATATGAAAAATAATGTGATAATATTATATGATATTTTATAATTGACATGATAGTATTATGTTAGAATGCTTTCAAATATTATATTTAAATAATTAAAAAAAAAACCTTAAATTTAAGTGATTAAATTGAAATAATTAATAATTAAGTAATTATTGTAAAAATATAATCATAAGTGAGTGATTAATTATATATTTTATCCATTTATAAATCATTAAAGATTACAAATTAAAAAAATCCTCTTCACTATTTAAAAATTAATGAAAGTTCATCTAAAAATGATAAATGCACTTTCAATTAAATCTTTAATAAATATTTGTTCAAATGATTTTTATTTTTTAAATTAATTTTTATTTATTTTTATACTTAATTTAAATTTATTAAATTTTAATCTATATTTATTACTTTTAGATAAAGCAAAAAAACACTTTTACTAATTTTTAAATAGTGATAAAAATCCTTCGTCTAGATAAAAATTTAGATCTTACAAGTAAATTATTCCAAAATTAAAAACTCAACCAAGCCGTTGTCATAGGATTTAAGGTCTTTGCCTTTCTTTTTGGCTTTGATTTTTTTTTAGAAGTAGACTTGTTTGATAGCTCTTATAGGAAAAGCAACCAAATGTTCACAACTATAATAAACTAATTAAGACAGCAATACATGCCAAAATCTTTAAATAATGCTATCAAGCTGTTACATCTCAAATCTAAAATATTTAGGACATAATAACTACATATATTTATGAGATAAATAAGACAAATTTCTTAATAAAAATCATTGTCACAAAAAAAAAATCATACTAAATTGAATTTAAAAACCTCAAAATATCTTTAAATTATACCTCCAAAATAATACTTTACGTAGCCTCAATTCTCTCCCATTCAAAATGATACATGATCCGTAGATAATGCTATCAAGCTGTTCTCAAATTTATAACATTGCGTATATATTTGTACAATTTCCCATTTACATATCCTGAAATAATAGCTCTAATACTTGATTGGTCAGATAACTATAGATTACAAATCAAAAACCTGATCTTCAGGATACAAAAAAGCTGCAAAATGTATTGAAAAAAAATGGGTTTCTGATACTTTTTGCTGATCTTTCTTATTTATCATTGTTTCAGAGTTTCAGTAAGGGAAACGATTTCGACTATGATCCCTTTCCAGCAATCCTTCCATGATAATCTTCTTCTTGTTGTAAATCTCTGTATCAGTCTCAGGAGAATCACGATGATGATCAACTGCAATATTTTCTGATCGAACATGTTTGATAGATCGACAGGTGAAAAAGAGCCATGTTGAAGTACAAAATATTGCACAAATCTTACCCCAAATCACCAAAACCAATAGGCTGACAAGACATTTACCAACGTTGAAGCCAGAGCAATACTTTCTTGGAACATTGGTTTCGACACTTTGGGATACACAAGGCCTTGAATTACAAGACAATGATGACGATGAACACCTTGATGTTGTTGCTGTTATTGTTGCTGCTGTTGTTGATGATAATGATGAATTCGTTGACGTAGATGAAAATGTAGAAGTACTTCTTGTGGAGTGATTATCTTCACAGGATGGATTATTATTCATTGATGGAATGTTTTTTGTTGATTTCGATTTCGATTTAGGTTTGGAATGTTTTATATTGTTGTAAGCCCGGTGGAGCTTTTGTCCCAATTTTTTGTTTCGAACTTTCTTCATCTGTGTCAATGAAAATATAATAGAAATCAACAATCGGTTTCATTAATATTTTATTAGTAAATTTCATTGATGATCTATCAATAAATCTACCAATAAAATTTCGTCGTGTTAAACTAAATTTTGATAGTAATTTTCATGAACTTAATTGTAAAATTAATTAATAAAACAATTTAAGACGTCATAGAGCAATATTGACTTACAAAACAAAATAGTAAAATTTCAACTATAATGTTGAAATCAATGATGCACACGTAGATTGAATTTTCAAGAAAGAACATAATTGGATAGTTTGATCAAATAAAAGAACAAAAACTAAATAATTAATAATTAAAAGAACCAAAGTTCATAGTACTAATAATTTGTTTAAACCTAAAAGGAACATAGTATATAGCATCAATTATCATTGTTGTAAAAAAAAAATCCTAAAAAAGAAGAAAATATAAAATAAAAATTATTTTAAAACGAAATTAATAAAATTAAGTTCATTCAATTGGTTAATTCGATTAAATCTGAATTATTACTATAATTAAATGCATGGTTTTAAGTGATATAAGCATCAAATAAAAATTTATTTAGTTATTTTTTATTTTCTAGTTTTATTAATGATCAAAATAACTAAAATAAAAAAAAAATAATGACATAAAAAAGGAGTAGGGAAAATAACTAACCAGGGAAGTTTCAAAGAAGACGGCTTTGAAATAACGAGAGAAACCCCAACGACCAAGTTTGTTTTTCCGACCAAAAAAGCCAACATCTTTGTCTTTATCAACCGGACTCATGTTCACCGCCAGCGAAACAACCGGTTCGACACCTTCCGAGGGCTCTGATGCTTCACCAACCACCGAACCGTTTTCCAAAACAACAACTGAATCAAAACACAAGCAAAAACTACTGCTCCTCTGCTTACTTATTGGTTTTTTCATTTTCTTTTTTTGCAAACGTTGTTTTAAGTTCATGCAATGTTTTTAGAAAACAAAAACAAAAGTTGGTTTCTAAAAGTTTGTGGATACAACGAAGATTTAGGGGGTGAAGTGTTTGTTTACGGAGAAAATTTCGGAAAACCTGAGAAAACGAGAGAAAAGTTGGTTTTTTTGGGAGGGGGTGGGTTTAATGGGAGAAGAAGTGACGATTTTGCTTCTTTATAGGAACCGTTAAGAAAAGAAAAAAATTTGTTATTTAAAATGTGTTATTATAAGTCTAAGAAATTAATTAATTCATAATTAATTGTTATAATTCATATCTATAGAGTTATTAATTTTTGAAAAAAAATAAATTTTTGATAGTATAAAAAATAATAATTTTAATTTATTATCTTTATTTTATTTTATTTGTGTTTGTCCAAAGAGGGGACAAGAAAAAAAGGTTTTTTTTTTTTATTTTTTTTATAATATCTAATAATTTAAAGCAAAGGCTCTCATTTATTATTTGACATAATTCAGTAATTAACTGACTTTGACTTGGACTAAATAAGAATCCATGACTTTTGACTTCAAATGTGAAAACTTTTACCCTTTTCAAAAAATAAATTTTAATGCAAAGAAAATATAGTAATATTACTATAACTCAAATGGAGGTCTTTTAGGGCCAAAAACTAGTCATAAGAATAAATGTTTGATGCGGAAATGTTGCCCTTAAATGATTGATAGTGACATTTTTTAAAAATAATTCATGAACCGTCGGACCAAACTCGGATTTTACCGTAATGGTGCAAAAAATTCAATCCTTCTGAAGAAAAATCTGAACATATATTATAATCTTAATATAACTCATATCATGCCCAAATTATCTTTGAATTGACTATCCATTACTTTTTTGTTCATTACTTTTGTCTTTGTGTATCATTAAAAATTTACCCTAATTAAATTATTAAATTAAGATATAGGCAATAGATTTTGTATGGTAATGAGTATAAAAATTAATCCCCTCCTTTCCGTTCCTAATAATATGTACTACTTGTTTTGGAATGCAATGCTTGAAAAATGATTAGCATGATTAATTAAGATTTGTATAATATTAAAGAAAAAAAAATTATCTCATCCAGCATTAATGGAGTTTAAAATTTTCATCAGGATTAAAGGATTCCGTAAATGAATTGTGCAAAATTTGATACAAGAGAAATTCTATTACTGTCTGTTTTTTTGGTATAAGGGAAATCGAAACCTAAAAGGATCGGACAAAGAAAAGATAATTGCAAGTGCTAGGAATTGACCTCCAGTATCGTAGGAATCCACTTCCGAAGGAAAATATGAATAATTTAAGCTAAGCTCTATGTTCGCTATCACTTCCCTTCGATTTCAACTATTAATCCTTTCAATAAAGTATAAGTAACCCACGTCCTTGGGTGGATTGATAGAAGCACCAACCTTGTTATCATTGAAAATGACCCATCTGCCATCTTTGAGGATGTGAGCAACATAATGGCCACACTGAGTAGAGGTTCCGATGTGACTCACTATTCCAAAGAGCCGATATCCTGCATTATGAAAACATTACAACGGGTTTTAATGAAATAAGAGTTTCCAAAAATCAGACGACCATTATGCACAACCGGAAAACCAAGACGCAAGAGACTCACTCCCTCCTCCATCAGGCAGTCCGGCATCGGATGGAGTAGGCATGACGCTGCTTGATGTAGTAGTAGTAGTATCCTTTTCTGATGAAACAGAGGTGTTGGGATTGTTGAATATCCAATCTGTTGCTTTTTCAACGTCGCCACCCTGTAAAAATGTACATGCCCCGCATTTTTGAATTTCCAACATTTAAGGAAACAGATTATGAAACCACACGATTCAAATCCTCAAAACAAATAAAAAGCTGTAAAGAATTTACCGATGCCTTCAATGCCTTTCGAGCAATTTCTTCTTGAAAACCAAATGAAATCAAAGTATCAACTGCTGATTGGTCAATAGATGCCTCAGCACCTTGTGCCCCATGGGAGATCGGAGCATCTATATCTGTAAAGATATATCAATGATTATCATTTGGATATGATACTATACGTCTATGTCAATCCTTGCAGAAAGATTCAAGATTATACTTATAATGCTAAATTCTGAATACCTGGATCATCCATGTGTGAAAGCAACCAGTTCATTGCCTCTTCTACACCGGCATTTAAAGTATTTATGGCAGTTTTCTGACAATGAAGCTGGTTAAACCCCATCGATACAAGCTGGGCAACAATTTCTTCTTTGGCCACAGACTGACTTGATTCTGCCTCACCCTCAGGAGCTATGCAGTACAAATAACAGGTGCCAAGAAAAAATTTTACAAAATCAATAATTCTCCTCTATTATATCAACTTCCAAATTAACGTTATCACCATCATTATGATTAATGGGATTCATTAGTTCACATACCAGCCTCTGGCAACAGTTCCTCTCCAGGTTGAAGGCCTTTGCTGCGCATATGGCTTATATCTATGATGTCAGGAACATCTATGTAGACATCTAAATGGACAATATACATGATGAATATCACCTTGAAAGTAACAGGCAATGTGCAACATAAGTAACGAAGCCATGAGAAAGTACCAAGCTTTTTTGGCACCCAGCCTGCCTAGATGACAAACTTCCTCATGTGCAATACCAAATAATCAGGGAATGAAGTTAATCCAGCAGTCCTGTAGTGTGAAATACAAAGGAGAAACAATAAGCTTCTGAACACTATAAGATATTAATAAAAGAAAACTCTAGTCCTGTAGTGTAAAATTCTGAGCACTATATGGTTATCGTTTTTTATTGGAAACTATATGCTTATCTGGACCTTCTAAAATAATATACATTAACTAAGGGCTAACTGACACCATGAAACAACACAAATCTTACTTGATAGCTGTTGTCTTAGCCTTCTATGCAGAGCTATAAAACACAGGTATCTCCTCTGGAGCTGAAAAGTTTGCTAAGCATGCTTCTGGAGACACCCTTGGACGTACAATTTCATCACTGGATCTGTAAAACAAGGCATCCTGAGAAAAAAGTCTACGGAAGGCTAAAAGTATCACATAAAACCACTGGAACTTACACATTCTTCCCTTCTGAAATCTTTTCAGCTTTGATGTTTTGAAATGTTTCCAGCTCTTCTGAATTCTCAAAGAATAAATCATTAGAATGTTAACTTTTTGAATACACGAAAATAGATATAAATGAAATAAACACACTAACATAACTATACATCATTAAAATCAAAACTTACCTCTATTAGTAGCTTCATGCAGTGGAATATTCAAAAGAAAGAATGTAGTCAAGCCTTTTATTATAAGCAACCTTCACAGATGAATATAAGATGCGCTCTTCAACACCAAACTTAAAACTCCTTGAGGGATCCAATTCAGGTTTCACAGCATTAGAACGTTCAACTTGGTCAAGAAAATGAAGGAAGAACTCCAAGGCATCCTACAGAATAATTCAAGTGTCCATATGAGACAGTGATGGCTACATGTAGAGAGCATCATGCCCCCCAAGACACACTCATGCTGTGCAATGAGAGAATTAACACACAGAAGCCCAGATTGCAATGATGTATATGGTTGGTTAGTCACATTACTCTATCTACAATAAGAACTAAAAGAACCATTTTCATATGGCATCTAAAACTAAGTCACATTCTTTATGGAATCTAAAAGAACCATTTTCATATGTACTGGAAAAGTGCAACATTCAAGTTAAAGCCAGAAACCAAATGATAATTTCTTAGCATAATTACTAAAATCAGCATATCCGTTGTCTCATGGTAGAAAACTCGGGATGGCTGGCTGCAATAACTGCTTTGAACATGCGAGGAAGGATCCCTTCCTGTTTCTAATATTTTCAGAATGTTGACAAATGAAAAGAGAAAAGAGAAGTTAAAAGGCAACTAGTAGGATCATTCAAACATAGCATGTATAAATGATATTAAAATTACTTATAATTTATGACAAACAATTGTGTTAAGCATATCTGAGTTGCATGGCACAAATTCTATTGTTAAGCTTATGCCTAATCAGAAACTTCCAGGTTGCAAATATAATCATATCACACTATACTTGGCAGTTCAAGGATATCATCTAAGAATCTCCAAGATCAGAACAAACTCAGCAGAGATATACAGTGGGAAGCTTACAGCATCTTTTATTCGGGGTGCAGCAGTTCCACCTTTCTGGAGGAATCGAAAATTAGTCAATTAATTCATTACTCAGTAAAAACCCAACTGTACTAAGGCAAACAGATTGATATAGTCACTGTACCTCTGGTGCAGGAACAGAATATTTACCAGAGAACAAACCATGTGCCAGTTTTGTTCTGTCACACAACCAGAAACAGATTCATTGGATTAGAAAAAGTAAGAGGCAAAGAATATGAAACTACTTATTAAATACACAGCAGAATAAAACAGGCAATGAAATATCAAATCAATAAACTCAACGACCACACACATAAAACAACAACAAATAACAATAAACTAAGCCTTATATCCCACAACTCCGGGAACCACACACATCAAAATAAGAAGAAAAAGATTTGTATGTTATATAAAAAGATACATAAAGAACCATCAAGTAATCTTTGCCAAAAAATACAGCAATAAACCCCATCATAACCACCAACATTAAGGACACTATTTTAACAAATAACATATCGAAAATGAGGAATTAATAACCATAAGAGTAGTAACTTACAACTGCATATTCAGGTCTACAGTTGGATCAGCAGGGGCTGTCTCAAAAGCCATTTTTAAGCTTTGGTTCATAAAATATCTGATTGCATAATCAAAGCAGAAAAGGCAAGAAAGGAAAATTAGCATAGTAAAAATCCTAATTTAGGATTAGTTAAATGTATGAACATTATAAGTTACCATCTACAAAACAAATGTGTTGAAAACTCCACTTACATGGTTGCTGCCATGTAGCAGCTGCATGAGAACAATTTTAGGTAATCAGAAACATCAAAACACCTATATTGTTACTGGTAGTCCTACATCACAATTAACATTACCTGTTTCCAAGATTCACAAGACCTGTATAACCTGGTCCAAAAATTGGTTCCACATCCTGTCCACTTTCTTGAATTCTGTTCCAATCAAAGTTGGTATTCTGGTCAAGCTCCCTTTCAGCA